TACATGCCAGTCTGTGGAGTCTGTGGAGAATAAAGGAGGATGTGATGCACATTGTTTGCCATTGCAATTCTAGCTTTTCATGTTTCTCCACCCACACTTGTTCTGTCTCATGGATCTGTCCAGAGCCTGTCACCTGTAGGCCTTGTATGTGTGAGACAGACTGCACCCAAGCCAGAGGTTGTTGTAAAGTGGAGGCAAAACAACCTGTCTGCGATGAGGGTGGGACTCGAACCCACGCGTGCAGAGCACAATGGATTAGCAGTCCATCGCCTTAACCTCTCGGCCACCTCATCCGAAAGCCTTTTCCCAGATCCTCACAAATAAAATTTTTGCCTAGCATGATACACTTTAACAAACATGTGTTGTGAAGGTCAGACTTTGACTGATCCCTGTTCCTCAAATCAGACATGGTACTCACTCACACCTGATTGTTATGCCATAGACTGAAAACACCTGACACTGATTTCCCCTTCAAACTAACAGCTCACGCTTATGCCCCAACTTGCTAGCACTTACTTTAAAACTGCAGTAAATGTGCTACAATTAGGGTGACGTTCAGCCGAGAAACATCGCAGGACTAACACAAAGTAAGTAATGACAAATACACAGATGAGACTGCCCCAAAGCGTAGCACTTATTGATGAAATCAGTGCTTCTATTTCAAGTAATCTAATTGTGCTTTATTTGGAAAGTATTGGCTATACCCGAGCATGGTCCACGACACTGTAGCTTATGTGTGTCAGGATGGCCGAGCGGTCTAAGGCGCTGCGTTCAGGTCGCAGTCTCCCCTGGAGGCGTGGGTTCAAATCCCACTTCTGACATTTGGTTGCTTTGCTGCACCTCTGATGAGGGGGTATTGGGCTGTTCCTGAGATCTTGTTTAAATAAATGCCCCTGCATAGTTTGGAATTTCCTTTGCATAGTTTTTGGGTCTTTTAGTCAGGATGGTCGAGTGGTCTAAGGCGCTCGCTCGTGATTGTGTTTATATATGTATGATTGTGTTTATACAACTTAAACACCGGTCTTACCACTAGACAACCAGGGATGAAAACCAAGAAAATGGTGGCCTCTACACTGTCTATGCTGGCCAGTGTCTTCCATCAAAAGCTCATAGAAAATCACATGAGCATCAGCACAGGACCATGGAGCAGTAAGAAGGTGGCTTGGTCTGAGGAATCATGTTTTCTTTCACACCATGTACAGCTTAGGGTTATAATAATAATAATAATAATAAATAAATATATAAACTTTATTGGGGTTAGAAATGGCTTGAAAAGGCTTGAAAAGACGCTTTGCCCAGGAGTTGCACTTAATCCTTGTCTTACGGCACAATTCCTGGTAAGGCTTGAAAAGACGTTGCCAAGGAGTTGCACTTAAGCCTTGTCTTACGCTCCATCCCTGGAAAGGCTTGTAAAGACGGTCCAATAGAATGGTTAGGCCCGCTGCTCAACCATTCACACTAAATGTAAGCTAACAACTAAACTGTATTATCTCTCTTAACATACTAGAAATGTATTAAATGGTAAAACAGGATATTTGCTGGAATTACTGACTGCTACCGCTGGTGAGTGGCGTAGCTCCTTTGAGTTAAATGTTTTGTAACTGTGTTTTACGTCAAGTATTAAATGATGTGTATTAACCGTTGCACCCTTGAGCAGTAAGAAGGTGGCTTGGTCTGAGGAATCACGTTTTCTTTCACATCATGTACAGCTTAGGGTTGGGGTTAGAAATGGCTTGAAAAGGCTTGAAAAGACGCGGCGGCCAAGGAGTTGCACTTAAGCCTTGTCTTACGCTCCATTCCTGGTAAGCCTTGTAAAGACGCTTGGCCAAGGAGTTGCACTTAAGCCGTGTCTTACGCTCCATTCCTGCTAAGGCTTGTAAAGACAGTCCGATAGAATGGTTAGGCCCGCCGCTCAGCCATTCACACTAAATGTAAGCTAACGACTAAAGTGTATTATCTCTCTTAAAATACTAGAAATGTATTTAATGTGGTGAGTGGAGTAGCTCCTTTGAGTTCCGCTGGTGAGTGGAGTAGCTCCTTTGATTTAAATGTTTTGTAACTGTGTTTTACGTCAAGTATTAAATGATGTGTATTAACCGCGGTGACCCTTGAGCAGTAAGAAGGTGGCTTGGTCTGAGGAATCACGTTTTCTTTCACATCATGTACAGCTTAGGGTTGGGGTTAGAAATGGCTTGAAAAGGCTTGAAAAGACGCTTTGCCCAGGAGTTGCACTTAATCCTTGTCTTACGCTCAATTCCTGGTAAGGCTTGAAAAGACGCTTGGCCAAGGAGTTGCACTTAAGCCTTGTCTTACGCTCCATCCCTGGAAAGGCTTGTAAAGACGGTCCAATAGAATGGTTAGGCCCGCTGCTCAACCATTCACACTAAATGTAAGCTAACAACTAAACTGTATTATCTCTCTTAACATACTAGAAATGTATTAAATGGTAAAACAGGATATTTGCTGGAATTACTGACTGCTACCGCTGGTGAGTGGCGTAGCTCCTTTGAGTTAAATGTTTTGTAACTGTGTTTTACGTCAAGTATTAAATGATGTGTATTAACCGTTGCACCCTTGAGCAGTAAGAAGGTGGCTTGGTCTGAGGAATCACGTTTTCTTTCACATCATGTACAGCTTAGGGTTGGGGTTAGAAATGGCTTGAAAAGGCTTGAAAAGACGCTTGGCCAAGGAGTTGCACTTAAGCCTTGTCTTACGCTCCATTCCTGGTAAGCCTTGTAAAGACGCTTGGCCAAGGAGTTGCACTTAAGCCGTGTCTTACGCTCCATTCCTGCTAAGGCTTGTAAAGACAGTCCGATAGAATGGTTAGGCCCCGCATACCAGCCATTCACACTAAATGTAAGCTAACGACTAAAGTGTTTATCTACTCTTAAAATACTAGAAATGTATTTAATGTGGTGAGTGGAGTAGCTCCTTTGAGTTCCGCTGGTGAGTGGAGTAGCTCCTTTGATTTAAATGTTTTGTAACTGTGTTTTACGTCAAGTATTAAATGATGTGTATTAACCGTTGCACCCTTTGAGCAGTAAGAAGGTGGCTTGGTCTGAGGAATCACGTTTTTTCTACATCATGTACAGCTTAGGGTTGGGGTTAGAAATGGCTTGAAAAGGCTTGAAAAGACGCTTGGCCAAGGAGTTGCACTTAAGCCTTGTCTTACGCTCCATTCCTGCTAAGGCTTGTAAAGACGCTTGGCCAAGGAGTTGCACTTAAGCCTTGTCTTACGCTCCATTCCTGGTAAGGCTTGTAAAGACGCTTGGCCAAGGAGTTGCACTTAAGCCTTGTCTTACGCTCCATCCCTGGAAAGGCTTGTAAAGACGGTCCAATAGAATGGTTAGGCCCGCTGCTCAACCATTCACACTAAATGTAAGCTAACAACTAAACTGTATTATCTCTCTTAACATACTAGAAATGTATTAAATGGTAAAACAGGATATTTGCTGGAATTACTGACTGCTACCGCTGGTGAGTGGCGTAGCTCCTTTGAGTTAAATGTTTTGTAACTGTGTTTTACGTCAAGTATTAAATGATGTGTATTAACCGTTGCACCCTTGAGCAGTAAGAAGGTGGCTTGGTCTGAGGAATCACGTTTTCTTTCACATCATGTACAGCTTAGGGTTGGGGTTAGAAATGGCTTGAAAAGGCTTGAAAAGACGCTTGGCCAAGGAGTTGCACTTAAGCCCTGTCTTATGCTCCATTCCTGCTAAGGCTTGTAAAGACGGTCCAATAGAATGGTTAGGCCTGCCGCTCAAGCCATATCACACTAAAATGTAAGCTAACGACTAAAGTGTATTATCTCTCTTAACATACTAGAAATGTATTTAATGGTAAAACGATATATTTCCCTGAATTCTTGATCATACCGCTGGTGAGAGTGGCGTAGCTTCTTTGAGTTAAATGTTTTGTAACTTTGTTTTACCGTCAAGTATTAAATGATGTGTATTAACCGTTGCACCCTTGAGCAGTAAGAAGGTGGCTTGGTCTGAGGAATCACGTTTTCTTTCACATCATGTACAACTTAGGGTTGGGGTTAGAAATGGCTTGAAAATGCTTGAAAAGACGCTTGGCCAAGGAGTTGCACGAAATCGATCTCGTTTGCTAGCTCACTTATCAAAGATAACTATAAAATACTTTATATTATAAAATACTATTAGTAACCCATAATTAACTAAATGGTCTCACGCCGCAGTATCTAAGCGACCTTTTGCTTTTCTATGATCCGCACGCCTACTTAGATCAAAAGATGCAGGCTATTTGTTCGTACCTCGAATAGCAAAGGCTACAACAGGAGGATGAGCTTTCTCTTCTGGAGCCCCACACTTATGGAACAGTCTTCCAATTAGAGTTCGGGACTCAGGCACTGTCTCAGTGTCCAGGCTTTAATCGTATTTGTTTAATCAAGCCTACCCTGACTAGACTTTCTCTTATGCTAAGCACAGTCCGTTTTTTTTTTCTCTCCCTCCCTCCTTCTGTCGAGCGACACCCGATTTTATGGAGATACTAGAGATCCTGATCCCCTCTGCTCTCTGGACCTACCTGATCCATTTTGGATGGCCTACCTCTGGATGGAGCTCTCATCTACTCCAATTCCAGATTGCTGGGACTACAGCTGCTTCTAGGGGCCAAAGAGACTCCATATGAATCCATAATCATCTTTTTCACACTATCTGATGTTACCCAGATGAGGATAGGTTCCCTTCTGATTCTGGTTCCTCTCAAGGTTTGTTCCTCTTAACATTTAAGGGTTTTTTTCCTTGCCACCGTCACCACTTAGTGGCTTGCTCAGTTGGGATAAATTTGCACCTTATATATCGATATACCGAATGGTTTTATAGATATACATGGATTGAGCTTTGCTTCACCTCCCATAGCTCAGTTCGTAGAGCGGAGGACTGTAGTTTATTTATGGTAACCGGCTCGAAGACGGGATTTCTCTGTGTGATATGGTTTCTTTTTAAATGTTAATTTGGCCAGCGGTGGATAAAACACCCCCTGACCGGAATCGAACCCCGGCCGCGGCGGTGAGAGCGCCGAATCCTTACCACTAGACAACCAGCGACGAAAACCAAGAAAATGGTGGCCTCTACACTAGCTATGCTGGCCAGTTTCTTCCATCAAAAGCTCATAGAAACTGCACATGAGCATCAGCACAGGACAGTGGAGCAGTAAGAAGGTGGCTTGGTCTGAGGAATCACGTTTTCTTTCACATCATGTACAGCTTAGGGTTGGGGTTAGAAATGGCTTGAAAAGGCTTGAAAAGATGCTTGGCCAAGGAGTTGCACTTAAGCCTTGTCTTACGCTCCATTCCTGCTAAGGCTTGTAAAGATGTCCAATATATTAATTTTTTTTTAATTGTTATTTAAAGGTTTTAGCTTAAAGCGCTTTGCCCAGGAGTTGCACTTAATCCTTGTCTTACGCTCCATTCCAGGTAAGGCTTGAAAAGACGCTTGGCCAAGGAGTTGCACTTAATCCTTGTCTTACGCTCCATTCCGGTAAGGCTTGTAAAGAGCGGCCAGGAGTTACACCTAGCTTTCTTACGCTCATTCCTGGTAAGGCTTGTAAAGCCCAATTGCACTTAAGCTTGTTTACGCTCCATCCCTGGAAAGGCTTGTAAAGACGGTCCAATAGAATGGTTGCGCCGCGGCTTAACCAAATTCACACTAAATGTAAGCTAACAACTAAACTGTATTATCTCTCTTAACATACTAGAAATGTATTAAATGGTAAAACAGGATATTTGCTGGAATTACTGACTGCTACACGCTGGTGAGTGGCGTAGCTCCTTTGAGTTAAATGTTTTGTAACTGTGTTTTACGTCAAGTATTAAATGATGTGTATTAACCGTTTCACCCTTGAGCAGTAAGAAGGTGGCTTGGTCTGAGGAATCACGTTTTCTTTCACATCATGTACAGCTTAGGGTTGGGGTTAGAAATGGCTTGAAAAGGCTTGAAAAGACGCGGCGCCAAAGGAGTTGCACTTAAGCCCTGTCTTACGCTCCATTCCTGCTAAGGCTTGTAAAGATGGTCCAATAGAATGGTTAGGCCCGCGCTCAACCATTCACACTAAATAAACGTAAATGTAAGCTTGGTCTGAGGAATCACGTTTTCTTTCACATCATGTACAGCTTAGGGTTGGGGTTAGAAATGGCTTGAAAATGCTTGAAAAACGCGGCCAAGCAGTTGCACTTAAGCCTTTTTACGCTCCATTCCTGGTAAGCCTTGTAAAGACGCTTGGCCAAGGAGTTGCACTTGCCGTTTTTTTCGCTCCATTCCTGCTAAGGCTTGTAAAGACAGTCCGATAGAATGGTTCGGCCCCCGTCAACACACTAAATGTAAGCTAACGACTAAAGTGTATTATCTCTCTTAACATACTAGAAATATATTTAATGGTAAAAGGGATATTTCCTGGAATTCCTGACTGCTACCGCTGGTGAGTGGTGGTAGCTCCTTTGAGTTAAATGTTTTGTAACTGTGGTTTTTACGTCAAGTATTAAATGATGTGTATTAACCGTTGCACCCTTGAGCAGTAAGAAGGTGGCTTGGTCTGAGGAATCACGTTTTCTTCACATCATGTACAGCTTAGGGTTGGGGTTAGAAATGGCTTGAAAATGCTTGAAAAGACGCTTGGCCAAGGAGTTGCACTTAAGCCTTGTCTTACGCCCCATTCCTGGTAAGCCTTGTAAAGAGGCGCTTGGCCAAGGAGTTGCACTGCCGCCGTGTCTCGGCTCCATTCCTGCTAAGGCTTGTAAAGAGACGTCCGATAGAATGGTTAGGCCCGCCCGCTCAGCCATTCACACTAAATGTAAGCTAACGACTAAAGTGTATTATATCTCTTAACATACTAGAAATGTATTTAATGGTAAAAGGGATATTTCCTGGAATTCCTGACTGCTACCGCTGGTGAGTGGAGTAGCTCCTTTGAGTTAAATGTTTTGTAACTGTGTTTTACGTCCAGTATTAAATGATGTGTATTAACCGTTGCACCGCAGAGCAGTAAGAAGGTGGCTTGGTCTGAGGAATCACGTTTTCTTTCACATCATGTACAGCTTAAGGTTGGGGTTAGAAATGGCTTGAAAAGGCTTGAAAAGACGCTTGTCCAGCAGTTGCACTTAAGCCTTGTCTTACTCTCCATTCCTGCTAAGGCTTGTAAAGACGCTTGGCCAAGGAGTTGCACTTAAGCCTTGTCTTACGCTCCATTCCTGGTAAGGCTTGTAAAGAGGCTTGCACGTGGGAAATGACCAAAACATAAAAAAGCCAAGGAATTGCACTTAAGCCTCGTCTCATGGTTCTTTCGCCGTGGTGTGCAAAAGAATAGAGCACCGGTGTTAGCAAACAGACTCCCCGTCGGGGAATCGAACCCCGGTCTTCAGCGTGACAGGCGGAGATACACATTGAAAGAACGGTTGGCACTTTGGATAGCATCAAACATAAACGATAAAACCATAAATGATCCAAGAAATTGCACTTAAGCCTTGTCCTGTGCCCCATACCCGTGATGGCCAACAGAATATGGCACTGGGCTTGAACTGCACTGGGGCTTTACCTGTGCAAGTTGAAGCCTGCTATGAACCTGAGTCTTAATGCAGAGAATCTTTATGAAGATGAGCAACAAAGCACCTTGGCATTCATCAAACAAGTTCGTACCAAACACATCTTCCATCCTGGGAAATTGCATTGGGACAAAGGAAGTCAAACGAATCCTGCTTTGAGACAATGTCCACTGTAAAAAGGCTACACAAATAAAATTGATTTGAACAGAATCGAATGTGTACATGTAAAGTTGTAAATGGTCTAGTTACTTAATTGAAGTAAATGTATTGAAGAAGGGCAGAAACATGAGAATATAAAGATGCACAAACACGTTTATTGGCTCCAGAAAAAATAGTCTAGTGTTTCCTTAAATCACTTTGCCGCTTTGCTTGTGAAGAGCAAAATTCGAATAGAAAATCGATCTCGTTTGCTAGCTCACTTATCAAAGATAACTATAAAATACTTTATATTATAAAATACTATTAGTAACCCATAATTAACTAAATGGTCTCGCCGCCCGCTATCTAAGCGACCTTTTGCTTTTCTATGATCCGCCCCGCCTACTTAGATCAAAAGATGCAGGCTATTTGTTCGTACCTCGAATAGCGAAGGCTACAACAGGAGGATGAGCTTTCTCTTCTGGAGCCCCACACTTATGGAACAGTCTTCCAATTAGAGTTCGGGACTCAGGCACAGTCTCAGTGTCTAGGCTTTAATCGTTTTTGTTTAATCAAGCCTACCCTGACTAGACTTTCTCTTATGCTAAGCACAGTCCTAGTTTTTTTCTCTCTCCCTCCCTTCTGTCGCAGCCACACCCGATTTTATGGAGATACTAGAGATCCTGATCCCCTCTGCTCTCTGGACCTACCTGATCCATTTTGGATGGCCTACCTCTGGATGGAGCTCTCATCTACTCCAATTCCAGATTGCTGGGACTACAGCTGCTTCTAAGGCCAAAGAGACTCCATATGAATCCCATATCATCTTTTTCACACTATCTGATGTTACCCAGATGAGGATAGGTTCCCTTCTGATTCTGGTTCCTCTCAAGGTTTGTTCCTCTTAACATCTTAGGGAGTTTTTCCTTGCCACCGTCACCACTTAGTGGCTTGCTCAGTTGGGATAAATTCGCACCTTATATATCGATATACCGAATGGTTTTATAGATATACATGGATTGAGCTTCGCCTCCACCCCCCAGCTAGCTCAGTTGGTAGAGCGGACTTTCGAAAGGAACGGATTTCTCTGTGTGATATGGTTTCTTTTTAAATGTTAATTTGGCCAGCGGTGGATAAAACACCATTCCCTGACCGGAAATCGCAACCGGGCCGGGCAGTGAGAGCGCCGAATCCTTACCACTAGACAACCAGGGACGAAAACCAAAGAAAATGGTGGCGCTCTACACTAGCTATGCTGGCCAGTTTCTTCCATCAAAAGCTCATAGAAACTGCACATGAGCATCAGCACAGGACAGTGGAGCAGTAAGAAGGTGGCTTGGTCTGAGGAATCACATTTTCTTTCACATCATGTACAGCTTAGGGTTGGGGTTAGAAATGGCTTGAAAAGGCTTGAAAAGATGCTTGGCCAAGGTAGTTGCACTTAAGCCGTGTCTTACGTTCCATTCCTGCTAAGACTTTAAAGACAGTACAATAGAATGGTTAGGCCCGGCCAACATTCACACTAAATTCATGTTTTTTAGCTAACTGTGAATAGAAAGAACCAACTCCACTGCTTTGTTGCCGAAATACCTGAGCAGGGTCCCTAAGTGAAGCCTATACTTTTCTCAAACAAATTGCATGGGAATACGTTCAGACATTGGTCGACGATGAAGCAAGGCTGTTTTATGTAGTTGTGGCCGAGTGGTTAAGGCGATGGACTAGAAATCCATTGGGGTTTCCCCGCAAGGGTTCGACTCCTGCCAACTACGTCTGAAGTTTGGTTTGCCTTTCAGACAGGCCAGTACTTGGCTAGCATTAGTGACAATCTTCCTCACTGTGCATTAATTGCTGTTCACAGTTGTTACATACCTGCTACTGAGAATTTGCCAATTGAACAAATGCAATGCTTTTCATTCTGAGTCCGGTGTCATTCCAATGAATGTTCAGGATCTGCCCAGCATCAAAATGAAAAGGGACAATAGCTCTGATGATAGTTCATGTGAAGAAAAAAACAAACAAACACACAGTTGGCAGAATAAATTTCACCAAATTCACTGGGAACAGTTCAACTTAATCTGTATGAAGTGAAAAAATGTCACCGTTTCAACATTTCATATAATTGCTGTCACTGAAAGGTATCAAGGCTTTCAGAAAATCACATTAAAACTGAAGTATATGTGATACAATTGGGGTAACATCCAGAGATACATTGCAGCAGTCACAGAAGACAGTAATTTCATATTATTGCTGTCACTGAAAGGTATCAAGGCTTTCAGAAAATCACATTAAAACTGAAGTATATGTGATACAATTGGGGTAACATCCAGAGATACATTGCAGCAGTCACAGAAGACAGTAAAGTCAAATACACA